TGAAATTACATATATATATATATATATATATATATATTATCGAGTTTGTAAATCAACTAGCACAAAATGTTTTCATAATAATTTTATCTATCTCAAATAAGTTTGCCTTTTGAAAAGACTTTCATATAGCCTAATATTTGGTTTGCCTTCTCAAATTTTATGAAACAATGTGTTACGAAGAATGTGATAATAAAAAGGAATATTTGTCGGTAAATCCTAAAATTTAAATGGTCAAACTATTATATAATGGTCATGGTTTAACATGTGGATTTTTTAATCAAAGATTTATGTTAGGTCTCTACCTTGGACATGAAGTCGCAATTGGAAATACTACTTTACTCCTATAAGAATAATGAATTATACCTCTTTAACAATATAATCTAATCTAATCGATTAAAAGAAAGACTAATTAATTTAGGTGATTTGATTACTTCCCTTCATTTTTTACATGCTGCAGTAAATCTACTGGGAAGTGCAATGGAGTTGGAGTAAAATCAGAGTTACCGTGATGGGGTTGTGTGATCTATGGCACATGATTCACATCATCAATGACAATAATAGTTTGGGCCATTTGAAGAGAGACCCACTTACCCTGTTGGATATAGGATCACTGAGTTGGAATTGTTGGACCATAGTGATGATGGCATGCTTTATGATAGAGTTGTTTATGGTTGTATATTTTGTTTTTGACCTTATATGTGAGACTTTAATATTTTTTTTAATATACATGTATATTATTTGTTTTACTTTCCAAGTTTTCATATGTATCACGAGGTGGTGATAGAAGCCACTTTTCCATTAAATTTATTAAAGCTAGGAAACACCCCCAAAAGATTTTAGCATATTGAAAGAATAAGTTACATGTGTTTGACAATCCTAATTATCAAAACTTTTTTGGGAGGGGAATGGTCCCTCCAAACAAAATTGATTGGTGACTGAATTAAGACTCAAATTGCTTGCCTTGAAAAGATTGTCCAAAGGTCCAATCCTTGGGAGCAACATTGTAAGATGTAAGAGTTATGCCATCACTAGCAGTAACCTCAAAGGAAAGAGGTTGGTTCTGTAGTAAGGCATTGACATGCCAGTTCTGACCCCAATTCCTACCCATGGGAAGCCAACCAGTTCTTGAACCCTTCACCTTCACACCAACAATGTCTCCCATGCCACCCACATTGCTAATCAGCAGCGAAATGAAGATTCCAGAACCATTAATTGTAAACCGGATCCCCCCTTCCCTTCTACACTTTATCCTGTTCCAAACACCAAATCCACAGCATTCTAATGAAAATACAAATGACCAAGTTTCCAATTTATAATTTTTTATTTTAACAGAAAACAAGATTAGATCAGGATCAAATTTAAAAGCATCTTGAATTTGGCTCCTCTAAAAAGGAAGATCATAATAAGAAAATAAATTGTATTATAGTTATTCATGAAAAATTAATGATTGTTATCATGATAAAATATGTGCACATGTCACTCATTATGATTAAGTCGGTTAATTATATTATACAATAAGCACTTTGCCTTTATCTCAAGGGAATCAAATCAAAGTTCCTTTACTAGCTATTTAGAATGAAACCCATGCAGGCTATACTCGTGAGCCTGCTTGGTATCCATTTTTATAAATGAAAAAAGTATAGAAGTTGACTATCATTCTATCACTAACTTATTTAATTTTTATAGTAAAACTTACCATAAACAAATAATTTTTCTCGTTCTCGTATCTAATGATGTTTAAATATTTAAAAATTGTTGGTGATTTGAAAATCCAAGATCTAATTAATACTTTTTCTACATCATACCCTTATTCCAAATGAAGAAAAATAATGTCGCGTTAATAACAACAGTGCATGAGAAGAAGAGAGAATTAAATTAATTGGGAAAAACCGTAAATATTATTTGTAATTTATGATTTTTAGTTGGAAGAGAAAACCAAATAAAAGTATTCTAATCTGAATAATACATAAATTCTTTATTACAACATTTTATACATCAACCTCAAACATCTTCAAATTATTAACAACTTAATTCTCAAAGTAAAGTGTTGAGAACAGAATAAGAGCCTGTTTATAATGTCCAACAAATTTTATGACTTTTTAAGAGTGTGTACTTTAAAAAGAGTGTATTAGGATTTAGAGAAGGACATTATTAAGTAATGTAGATCATCTTCAAAAATAAAAATGTAGATCATGAAGTAGTAGTCTAGAATCACGAAACTCTTTATCATGAGACAAACAAGAGACAATTTTAATTTAAAAAGAAATAATATCCTTGTGAAAAATTATCACCAAGAATCAGTTTGTTATTTTAGAGAATGTTATAAATGCTTTTGAGATTAAACAAAAATGCTCCTATCAAATCAATTTACCTGCGATACTCCACCGGCATGTTGCCGGTGCCGGCCTTCCAGATTGCGATTTTCTCGAATGTCTCAACGGCCACCACGAAGTGCTGCTTCGGAGGGTTACAGTGTCCGCCAAGACTCTCCGCGTCGGAACCGTAGTTGGGGGCGCAGAAATTGGTGGCCGTCACGGTCACCGACGTGCCGGGGACGCACCACCGCCGGTCGAAGTCCGACTCCTCCTCCCGGCACCGCAGCTCGAAGCAGCCGCCGCAGATCTGGCCGCGCTCGAACAGGGCCTGGCTGAGGGCGGCGGTGGG